GCCATTGCTGCGCAAATGGTGAGCAGCGGATTTGCGCACATCCGCGTTCGAGAAAGGACGAAGTGCTTGTTACTGTACGGCAAGTCAGGACATGTACGGTCTGACAAATCCCGGAATTGGAGGAAGGCAAAAAGGAGGGTTGCATGGAATGTTTAACCCAGAAGCTGGAGAGGCAAAGCCTTGAAAGCTAACGCTTGGGCAGGAGGTTTGCCCGACCGTTGGAGACCGTTGTTCAACAGTACAGCGCAAGGATTTCGAGGCAGGGTGTTAAGATTTGTACATGGAACGCCCACACCTTTGGAGAGCCTTCGGCGACGGCACATAGAATGTATAGAATGACTATGCAGCGCCTTTGGCTTAAGCAGGAAAAGCGTGAATGCTCAGGGTCTTACAGTTTAAACTGAACTGCGGGACACCCAAAAACAGACAGCCTGAGAGTGAGGGAGAGACTTTAGTAACTCTGCCTCTCTTCCACGTTATACAGCTTTCACACTGCCACACGCAACACAGTCCACGTCACACACATGATGTTTTCGAAGATGTGCTGCAAGCCATGCATGTGCCGATACTGCAGCACGTGCACTCCAAAGGACAGGTGGGTGTCTCACCGCGCCGCCATGGACACGGGGGAACCACTTGTCCCTCTGTGCAAGCTCTGTCCTAACTACAAGCACGAGAGCGAGGATCAGCCAAGGCTGCCTCGTCCGAAGAAGCGGCCGCAGCTGCCGGTCCTGCCCTACCTGGCAGAGTCGGTCACCAAGGACGCGGTGGAGAAGATTGAGGAGTTTGTGGAGCCAAAAGCCGGCCATTCACGGTCTGAGGCTTCCGATCCACCGCCAATGCCGTCTGTGGTGCTGAAGCGGAGGCTCATCGACTTGAACCTGCTGCCGTCGCCGCCACTAGAGAAGGAGGTGACGACCAAGTGGGGGAGGCACCTGCCTCCGACAGTGCCGAAGGGCCTCGATCCAGATCCTCTAGATGCCAGCCCAGAGCTTTATGATGGGAGAGAAAAGAGTGGCGAGCCTCTTGGTGCATGGTGGATTGCAAGTGATAGGGATGCATTGCCAAAGTTCAGCTTGTTTGAGCATGAGTTGCGGTCACATGTGCCATACAGCAGTTCCTGTGAAGTCTGTGTGAGAGCGAGGGGTATCAAGAAGGCCCGCCAGAGGACCGATGTACACCAGAACGAGGTACAGCTTGATCAGTTTTGGCATGGGTCGCTGAGGTTCTTGATCATTGTGCATTCCAGGTCTTTTGCCATAGGTTGTGTGAATAGTGACAGGCCAAAGGAAGCGATCGTTGCAGACATGTCAAAGTGGCTTTTGCATTTCGGTTTGTCCAACAAAGATTGCTTGTTCGCTTGTGACGCTGAGGGCTACATGCATGCATTGTGGCATCAGCTCCTGCAGGACTATCTTCACACTGGGCGGCCACGTGATCCGCTGCTCTTCCTGGCCCCGACCTCCTCCAAGTCGTGGAGAAAAGGTGTTGCAAGGCTACCGGGTCCACGAGGTCCTTAGTTCGGGTCTCGTCCTTAAAGGGCTAGAGACGATAGAGGTTTTGCCTTTGCCTACCCAGACTTGGCTTTGCAAGGGCGGTCAGAATCCGATTTGGATGACCTGGTGCTTCCGACGCCCTACACTCCGTGCATGCTGCCTTGCGTCAGCAAGGCGTTGAGGGACCAAGCCCAGGATAGCCAACTAACTGCCCACAGCCTCCACCACATCTCTGCCTTCGGCACTGATGCCGACTGCCTCGCCTTCCTCCTGGATGGATGGAACACCTGCCGCCTAAGCCAAGCTCGGACGTTGTCCAGGACCTTGTCGCGACCTGTAAAGCCAATTATAAGTGAGCTTTGCTAGATGATGATACAATGCCGTCCATCCGCCTTCTTAGCCCGGGAAGAAGCTCAAGTGGATCCGGTGGCAGCTACGCCTCAGCGCCAAGCAGTACTCGGAAATCATGGAGGCCAAGTCCTCCATGCCTGACCTTCAGGAGCACAGGCACCCTCAGGCCAGCCGCAGATCCAACACGGTAAAAAAGAGAGTGATGTGCTAGAGCAGTGCAAGCCTATCTAGAACACTTTGGAGCCCCTAAGATTGCTTGAGCTACGGGCGTTAGGCCACGGAAGCGGCAGTGCTTCGAAGTTGGAAGTGCGTGATTCTCGTGTATGTCTCGAAACAAGGCTCGTAGCTAACACAGCGTGGAGAGATGGAACACCCAGGGAAAAGTTTCGGGGTTGGTGCGGGAGATGCGCGGCCTCGAGCCCCATCCTCGTGCCCTTACGGTCAATTCTTCCTTTGGCGGAACTTCGGGACGCATCGCATTCATCACATCACAGAATCACAGCAACCTCAATAAGGTCCTTCAATCTGACGCATGGATGCCGGCGATGAAAGGGCGATTTCCATGTCTATGGCGCAAGCCGGGGGAGCTTGTGGTCATTGGTCGAGCGAGGACGATATTTCGATGGCCCCGCGATGCAACCTTCGGCGTCGAGCGTTGCCTCATCCACGAACGATTTGTGTGTGGGCGTTGTGAAGCAGACAACGCCCGCAGCCCGACCCAGCCCATCGACCCCGACTGACGATGATGCAGGCAGCAACCGACCCACAGGCGAAGGGAAGTCAAGAGAAGGGCAAGCACGGGTAAAGGCAAAGGCAAACACGAAGGGAGAAGGGAAAGGACGCCATAAGCAAGGCGGTGGTCAGCCGAGACGACCAGGCGGCGACCGCACGCTTTGCCTTGCTATATCGTAGGTAGCTCGTAGCGACGCCTAGTGTTTTCATTCGCGGATCCGGTTGAATCTGCTGGACCACCTTGACAAAACAATACTGTTGGTGGTTTGGTAGGTTCTGATGGTGAAGCAGCTTGTTGAGACAACTTCCGCTGCTTCCTCAGCAATCCTTTGTCCTTGCCGAAGGAGACCCACAGATGTGCAATGGCTAGCCAGTGAGTGTGTCAGTGACAGTCGATGCTGCCGTTCTGAGCGCATCAATTCTACGTCTTACAACCCGCGATCAATATGGGTTCATCCGTTTTGCCTACTATAATCGGCATGTCGCTATGAGCCTACGATCATTGGCTGCGATTGTACAGAATGGAACATAGACCATAGGTTTGATCAAGTCACAAAAGTCGGCCTATGTCCATGGTTTTTTTGCGTTAAGCTGTGAAGAACTGAAAAGAGACGTGGCTCGATGCACGACGCGTGAGCTCGCGCCCAGGGGGGTGTGATTTGTCACCGACCTTTCATTGCTCAAGACGCACCTTTAATGACGTCCGGCAAAAGGTTCGCCTGCACTTGGGGTAGTGCTTGTGTTTCCTTCCAGGTGTGCAGTTAACCTAATGGCTCCAAACTCCGATTGTGTTTCCTGCTTGCTTACTGCTTTGCATTGCCATGCTCTGCAATTGGTTGCCCACTGCTTTGTGACCGAGAGAGTTAAGTGGATTCCTCTGCTTATCACATTTCAGCAGCGTTCCATGCTTCCATGCGCTTTTCAGACTTTGGCCCCCAGCGTTTGCAGCTGGCAACCTTTGGACCTCTTTGACGGTCCACCCGCATCCGAATCCATTCTCAGTGCACATTACTTCCCTGATATTTGATTCTGAATCACCTTGTTCTTCCAAACCTGTTGTGGCATATCGTGTCAATCTCAAAAAGCGCACATTGGTAAAACATGCAACCGTCTTGATTGGAGACGAACCCCGCCCTCCAAAAGACAAGCTCAGAGTCGTTCTATGACGCTTTTCCATCCGAGTTGAACCTCAGAACGACGACCCCCCAGAGCCGCAATAGCCCAACAGATTTTGCAAGCGTTTCGCACGGTTTCGGCCCTCCCAAAATGCAGCTCTTGGCCTGCCGAGCCACGGTTCTGAAGGGGGGTCCACGGAGGTAGAGTTGGATTTGCCCCACCATCCACAGAGACAGAGAGTACGCTAAAATTGAATTGGGGTTGCAGAACGGTTTACTGGAGAGACGCCTGAGCTGTAGTGACCGGGTCAGCGCATTGTGCCCGACCAAAACATGTATGCAGATCCCCAATCAACGCTCTTGGCCGCGCCGGCGGTAAAGGTGTGCAGTGAGACCCTGGGTGCAATCGGCCATAGTCTCACAGGCCCAGAATGGTTAATGGTTTAGCATCGTGTGAAGGCGTGCGAGTGGCCAGAGCATCCATGACCGCCATCTTCTTGTCCTCAGCTTCAAAGGGTCCATGAAGAGCCCCCATCTTCCACACTTCCAATCACGTCAGCAAGACATTTCATAGGCAATCCCACGCAGTGTGGCTTCTGTCTTTTCTCTTTGCCGGTGTTGTTGCAACTGCGCACTGCACGCAGCTGCCCTTCGCGCTGGTACCCTACCAGGCCTGACTGCCGGATGCTCAGCTTCAGTTTGATGGCACTGTCGCCTTCGCAGTCTCGCAGTCTCCTATAACTCTAATGTGTTAACGTCGAGCTCTAAGCCCTCCCGAAAATTCCTAAAAAGGCTGGATTCGGATCTGCTTGCCTTCCGGCTCTGCTAGTGTGAGGGCCAGAACTCGTAAGCACACACTCAGCGTATTTTAAGCTCGAGTCAATGTTGAAACAAAGAGCTGCATCGTCACTGTCGCCCCAAGCCCTAGATTACCAGCATTGAGCCTTTGACCCGATGCCCATGATAGGCTCAGCCCCACGATCCTTGAGGCTTAAACCTTGTAGCCCTAAGGCTTCCGCCATTCATTTCCCCAACCCCAAGTCCTGGCACATGATCTGATGTGTGTGCTGTGATCTACTTGGTGCCAGGTTCCTGCCGCTTGAGCTGCGAGCAGCAATCGGCAGTATGCCCAACGGAAAGTCAAAAAGCTTGACTGCGCCGCAGAAGTTGGCAACAAAGGCGTGGGTGTGACACGCACGGCTTGTCGAGCTCAGAATACGACTGAACTCATGTCCTTGTGCAGCAGGTCCTGTTGCAGCATTTTGCCTTATTTCCAAGCTATCGCAGCGACAGAGGCACATGATTTATGCATGTGTCATCATGTGTCAGTAGCAGCGCGTTCCGTGGGCAAGAATTGGCGGATGGCAGAGTGTTCCGTGAGCGACAACGTAGCAAGGTCCAGGAGATCAGCATGCCATGGCCATGGCATCTGTGTGTCTTGGTGTGGTGGACGGAGTCTCTGTTGGCAAGCGGCCAAGCTTGGTCTTCTTCTACCTTCCAGAGTGGGCCGTTCAGGGTGCAATGGCCTGCAGCGACCTTCGACAACGAGACTCAGGAGATGTGGAGCTTTGGAGGTCGCGGGATTTTGTCGGGCGGAGGCGGAGGGTCCTTCGATTACATCGGAGAGATCTGGGCCTATGAGACCTTGAGAGATTCCTGGCGCAACGCCTCGGCTGCCGGAGGCCCCTCACCGCGGCAGGCGGCCTCCGCGGTCTTTGCGGAGAGGAAGGTTTGGATCTTCGGGGGCTCAGAGCCCTCGGCCTTGAATGATTTCTATGCCTACGACACCTTCGCCGGCTCCTGGCTGCAGCTGACCCCCGCAGGCCCGGCGTCGCCCCCGGCACGGTTTGGCCACGTTGCAGTTCTGGAAGGCACAAGGATGTGGATTGTGGGGGGCATCTCCCTCGTTCTTGATGTTTGGGCTTATGACATCCAGGCCAACACCTGGAGCCAATCCGCCGATGCGCCTGGTGCTGGCAGGAACTACCACGCAGGCATCTTGGAGCCAGGCGGCACAGGCACGGCAGGCGCATCGAAGATTTGGATCTTCTCGGGTTCCTTGGATGGCGGGAAGTATTCCAAGGAGTTGCTTTGTCTGGACATCCCAGGGGAGAGCTGGACGAATTGGACCCAGGCTGACGGCCCGCAGGAGCGCAGGAGCCCGACGGCCGTTCTTGAAAGCGGAGGCGCTAGCGGCGCTAGTGCTCGGATCTGGATTCATGGTGGCTACTCCTTTGATCACGTGAACTCCGTGGTAGCTAAATTCTCTGATGTGTGGGCTTACGACATCCAGGCTGACACTTGGACGGAGTTTGCGAGTCCTTCGAGCATGAGGCGATACAACCACGTGGCCGTCATGGACGCCCTGGGCCAAATCTGGACCTACGGTGGTACGGATTCTAGTGTCGTGGACACGGTGCACCTCTTCATCACGCAGCCCACGACCACGACGACCACGACGACCACCACGACCACGACGACGACTTCGAAACCAGTGAGCTCCGGCACCAGAGCCAACGCCACGGCAGCCCTGCTGGCGGTGGAAGACGTCCAGCGACTCGCCTCGAGCACACTTCTCGCCATGCAGCTTGGAAATGTCACGGACTCGGACGGCAGCGTGCTTGCTGAGAGAGAGGATGTTTCTCTGGACGCCCGTGTTATCTCGAAGCTGGTCGCAGACAGCGTTGCTGCCCTGAGCATCAGCTTCGGTGACGTCGCGGTGGAGCTGCCGACGGCTTTTCTGCAGTCCTTCGAAGCGGAAGCTGGAGCCGTTTGGGCCATCAGCGCAGGCCTCGTGACGGAGAACAGTTCTGCCTTCCCTCTCTTCGCCGATGACAGGCTTGCTGAGCCTCTACTGAGCCTTCAGGTCTACTGGAAGGAGAGTTTCAATGCCTCGGCCTCTGAGGTGAGCGGTTTGCTGCCTGCGCCGATCCTCTTGACCTTCCCGTACACTCCAAAGCCGTCGCTGCGACCGAGCTGCGTCTTCTGGGACGAGGTGCTTTCGGATTGGTCCACAGAGGGCGTCACCTTGGTGGGCACTGCTGAGGGCACTGTGACCTGCGCCACAGAGCACCTCTCGCTCTTTGCCGTGATGTTCTTGGCCTTGGTTTGCAGCAATGCCCAGCGCTCAGATGTGCTTTCACATGGCGAAGGAACCAGATCCGAGCATGCGTGTGTATTTTTGTATATATTTATATCCGTCATCTATCTCTCTATCTCTCTATCTCTCTCTATCTCTCTCTATCTCTCTATCTCTCTATCTCTCTATCTCTCTATCTGTCTCTCTCTCTCACTCTCTCACTCTCTCACTCTCTCACTCTCTCACTCTCTCACTCTCTCACTCTCTCACTCTCTCTATCTCTCTATCTCTCTATCTCTCTATCTCTATCTCCCTCTCCTCCCTCTCTCTTATGTGTCTGTCTAGATGGGGGTTCCGCGCCCGAGGCCCCGGCCATTTTCTCGGCGGAAGGCGCGAGGGAGAAACGGCCAACGATCGGCTCAGCGTTTTTTTCTTCTCGTTCTCAGCGCTTCGCCGCGAATGTTTTGCTCTGAGTGAGGTCTGCGGGCTTTGTCCTCTTCCGCGTGGCTGTCGCGCCTTCCTGCCGTTTGCACCTTCCTCACGCTCCTGCTCGGGTTCTGTTTGCTGGCGCTGGCAGCCGTCTTGGACAGGAGGCATCGGCAACACCGAGCTCAGCTGCTTAAGAGCTGGGAGTCCAGCCAAGAAGTAAGGCACACGAAAATGACCAGCGGCTTGGAGATTCCCAAGCAGAAGATGGAGCCCAAACCGAAGACAGTGCAAAGGTTCCTGCTGCAGCACTTCCACTCTAAGATCTTGCTCTCTGAGCTGGGTGTCGACTTGGCCTTCCTGAAACAGCTGTACTTGCTTGGTGGCTACACGGCGCTGCACCAAAGAGCTCGTGAGGTCTTGGAGCGGTTCTACACGGAGAGCTTCTTCTACCGGTCCTCGGTGTCCTTCCGCGCCTTCTGCACGTGGATGGACTGGTCCCAGCCCGCGATGCGCAGCTCAAGCCTGGAGCGCCTGGCGGCGACGCAGGCGAACTTCTGGAGCGGCCTGGCCCTGGTGGCCGTCTTCTACGGCAGTCAGGCTCTTGAAGCGAACCTCCCACAGGCAGACGGCGGGACCCGCGGTTCTCTACCTGTCTTTGTTCTCTTCGCTGGGGTTTGTCTAGAAGGGAAGAAACAGTCTTGCGTCAGGAGTGCGAGATCTTCGAGGGCCTCTTGGAGTCCATCCTTCGGGGCTTTGTCACGGCCTGGATCGGGGCGGTCTTGGGCTTCCTGCCGCTCCTGGCGGTGCTCCTTGTGGAGCAGAAGCTGGTGGCGGCCCAGCTCGGCGCCTGTGCCCGCGTGCTCTTCTGGGCCTTCGCGGCCTGGCTCTGGCTGCTGAAGCTTTCGGTGTGTGTCTTTTGGACGGTGGACGGTGGTTTTAACGTTTTTTGTTTTTGACGGTGCTGTCAGACTCAGCTTGGAAGCTTTTCTTGGCACCCCAGGTGTCCAGCTACACTGCCTTCTCTGTGCTGGTCATTTGCATTTTCATCAGCACCGTCAGTGTTGCCGACGGGGAGGACTTCCTGATCTCGGCCACTACTGGCGTGGTCAGAAACCTCTGCCTCACGCCGGGTCTGCTGGTCTGCCTTTTCTTGCCACTGGCGGCCAAGACTAAGAGCACGGCCGTGGACACCAGCCTGCCCTTTGCTTGCAGTCGCGAGAAGACCTATGCGCTTCGCTTGGAGAGGATTCGGATTGCCTCCAAGCAATCTGACATAGCTGATGTCTGCCTCAGTTGCCAAGTCCCAGGTCACCTCCAAGCATCAACGAAAGTCGCTGTGGACTCAGAAGCCCAGGCTGATGGTATCTGTCTCGCAGGATTGGCCGAGCACCACCTGATTGTGATCGGCATCTATGTGAGATCGAAGTTCCGAGGTTCGGCGGCGGTGCGCCTTCGCGACTTCCTGGATGCCAAAGACAGAGATCTGAGCCAAGAGCTCTCCCTGCGACAAAATGGCAAGGCCCTATCCGATCTCTCCGTCCTTCTGACGGCGGCTCCACCCATTCAAACAGACCCAGACGAGGACGTGCAGTTCCCGATGCTACAAAGCAGCGAGGAAGCCTCCAACAATATCCCTGCAATGGGCAGCGATGTTCTGGGGATCGCCGTCGACGAGTCGCCAAAGACCCAGGCAGATCCCGTCCTTCTTGAAACCTTTATGGAGGACGATGACCTCATGGTGTCATCCTTGTAACATACTTGTAATCTGCATGCAAAGCCCGAGCTCGTTTGAAATTCGCGTGCCAACCGAGGCCTGCAAAGCAGTCGGCTAGGCACACGGAACCCCCGCAATTTTGACGGCTCCTGCGAGCCCAAATTCGGCGCGGAGGCGGGTGGCGTTGGGAACACCGCTTTGCAAAAGCAAAGGGCCCGTGATGTCAATGGAATCGCTTTTCTGCAGCCGGCTGGAAGCTTGAAGTTTAAATGCCGGAGACCAACTCACGGAGAGCATAGCAGCGATTCGATGCGGTCACAGAGCAGTCGCATTCCGTGCATTTTCGTCTCCGGACCCCGGCTGCCCCCGGCTCTCTGCCCGCTTCGGCTCAGACCCGTCCTGGTGGCACTGTGGGCGCCATGCGAGGCACGGCCGTGATGCGTTGAGGCGCTGCAAGGACCGGACTGGTGGTCGCTTGCATAAGGCTTAAGTGGTTGCAGACCTGCATCCGTTACATGGGTCAACATGTAATGATGGAATCGGGGTGCTTCTTGTGGACACCGCACAACACAGAACGCGCGCACTTAAGTACTTGAGTCGTGGCCACCAGCTTTGCGCTAACCCGGCTTTGTGAGGACGTTTGTGCGTCCACCGCCTGCGGCCGCGGGCCTCGCCATTCCGAGGCGGCCTTTGGGATGTCCGCGCACGACGGCCAGCGCGCGGCAGGGGCCCCAGAGGCCCCAGAGGCCGCAGCGCTGCAACGAGTGATGCTCTGAGTATCTGCACGGCAGACGTACGTGCCCTGCTGGTCATCTCCCAAGTTGGTGAAAGAAAGCCTGGTGAAGCAGAAGTTGCAGAGAATAAGAGATGATCCTGGAGGGACATGTGCAAAGATGTGTAGTTTCTGCGCAGTCCAAGAGGTGAGGGCCGTGGGCCGCACGCTGCTGGCTTCGCTGTCGCAGCCGAGTCCTTGGAGATTGCAGCCCAAGCCGAGAGGGTCCCAGCGTGGTGGGTCGTTTAAAACCGCAGGCAGTCGCCGTCTCCTTCGACGCTGCGAGCGTCGCCCAAGGAGGAGCGGTGCCCATGCAGTGGCCCAGTTTTCTGAGCGTTTTAGCAGAGCCTTGCCGAAGCGCCAAAAAAAGCGAGAGGAGCGGGGCCCGGGCGCTTCCGTCGTGAACGGCGTGGAGGTCAAGGCCGGAGCCTCTGCCGACGAAACTGCGTTGTGACGTTCGAGCCTCGCAGAGCCTTTCTCGCTCGCTCTCTCTCTCTCTCTCTCTCTCTCTCTCTCTCTTTCTCTCTCGTGACGTGAGGACCTGCACGTGGCCCGGACCGAGGCTCACGGAGCGTGGAGGGGGGTTCCCGTGTTTCCGGACTCTGCTTGGCGCCTTGGCTTCCTTGTGCCTTCTTGTGGAGGCTTCCTGGAGCCGAAGTGAGACCCCGTGGAAGGCGGGACTGCGACACCTGAGAGTGCTGAAGGCTTCACTTTGTCGACGTCCGCTCTGTGCAGATTCTGGGACCCAGGAGCTGAGGATTCTCTAGTCTCTCGCAAGTTGAAGCCTGTGGAGAAGCTGCATCGACCCATACGAACTCTTGGATCCGAAACCTCAACATCCCGATACGCCCAGCTGATGATCCGATGATGCTCTCCGCAGATCTCTGCGTTTTGCTGCGTGCGCGGCTTTGAGCTGCGGCGATGATATCCGCTTTGCGGTCGGCTTTGAGCCGAGGACCCGGCCCAGAGATGCCCGCCCAGCCTCCGGGACCGGGGGGACTGGGGGGACTCCCCCTCCCCCCCGTCTTTGAGAACCGGGAAGCCTGTCTGAGCCTGAGCCTGTCTGAGCCTGTCTGAGCCTGTTCCTGCCAGTCTGAACGAGCGCCGTCGCGTGCCGCGGGCCAAGGGTTTTTTGGGCTTAGGCCAGCAAGGACGTCACAGAAAGGTGGGGATCAGAATCAGAGCAAGTAGCCCAGGGACTTCCCGGTCAAGTTCCCACCCCGACTGCCCAGAGAAGGTTATCGAGGCCGGAAAGTCGTTCGTGCCGATGTGACTGAATAATAGTCTGGCTGTGTTTTCTGCGATCGAATTGATCGTGAGGGAGCTGCTTGTGCTCATGTCTCTTGTCTTGATATTCTGGCCTTCTTGTTCGAGTTGGAGTATTGGTACTAACTCCACCACATGATCTTGTTTCACCACGGTCCTGTACTTCTGGCAGACGCCTCTTCTGCAACCTCCCCCTGACACGCCGTACCCCTCAAGTCCAAAACCCGGAGCCCCAACGTCATGTGCATCACAGGGCACGCGAGGCTGAAGACCAGCCAGTGGACCGGATTCTGCTTGCACGGGCTTGATGCTTCGTTGATGTCATTGCCATCACAAGCACCACTTCAGCACGACCGCGACCAAGACCATCATCATCATCATCATCACCAGCATCGGATCAGTGTCAGAGTCAGCACCAGTGTCAGCATCAGCCTCAGCATCTGCCTCAGCAGCAGCAGCAGCAGCTTCAGCTTCAGCTTCAGCTTCAGCATCACCATCACCATCATCATCATCACCACCTTCTTCATCATCATCTTGATCATCATCACCAGCATCATCATCACCACCATCCACGTCATTTTTGTCGTTGTGTCGTCGTCTTCGTGACCAGCATCATTTCCACCTCCATTACCATCACATGAGCATTGGGAAGTTTGGTAGTCTCGATTCGATGGTTTGTTTCAGAGCTGTCCAAAGTAGGCTACCAGAGGAGCAATACAGTGGGCAAGACTGATATCTCACAGGGCATGCCGACGACAGCATTGTTACGTAGAGTGAGAGGCTTGCAAGCACATGAGCGACAGCTTGAAGTCCCATGGACAGCTGAGAGCCCAGAAGCCCATTCTTATCCGTAACAAATCGTACTCCCGGTTTTGCTGGCTGGTCTTGGCCCGTTCTTAGTCCGCAACAAATCGTACTGCACGGGTCGTGGTGGCTTTTTTCGGGCCCAATCTTATCCGTAACAAATCGTATTCCCGGGTCTTTTTCCGGTGCAGTCTTAATCGCAACACATCGAACTCCCGGGTTTTGGTGGCTCCTTCTGGCCCGTTCTTTTCCATAACATATCTACTCCGGCGTTTTGGTGGTTTTTTCCGGCCCAGAATTGCCCCGTAACCAATCGTACACCCGAGTCTTGGTGATCTTTTCTGGCGTGAATGGGCCTTAAAGGTGTCAGCAGCGTCATGCGCAGGAGCCCTTGCGACGACGGGAGTCGAGTGCTTCTGCAGGCAGCGTGACTCGTACCTTTTTACAGTGCCGCTTCCCGGGGCTCCAAAGTTGCCAGTCTGTTGCTTGTCTTCATTACGTGTCTATGCCCCAGAAGCAAAGCACTCACAAAAAGGGTCGCCAGGGCAGTCTTTCAGCTTTGTTGCATCAGCTCTTTCGAGACGCTCATACTGTGCTGCGAGACGCTTGCTAATCGACTAGAACCAGACTCTGCGCAGCAAAAAGCCTCCATCACCGAAAGCCTCCGAACATGTTGGGCATCTTCTGTGTGCCTCTTCCACTGCCGGCTGCAATGCTTTGCCACCGCACCAAGTCCATGCTAAACATGTCGAGCCCCTGAACCCCTACGCGCCGCTGGCCTTCTGCCACTGCATTAGCAGCGAACTCGCTATCTGTCAGCCCCAACCTTTACGTCTCCCTACGTTCTGAACTTCTAATACTAAAGCCTGAAAGCTCCACAGCCCTTTTCTCTTGGAGGTGGCGAGCGCTCCCGCGCCTCGAAAAACGCCCCGGGCGGCGGGGCCGCAGGCGAGCGCCGCCGCGGCAGCCTGCAAGAGTGCCTTGGCCCTTTTGGGGCTCTTTTTTCGGTGTTTCTCTTTTCGCTTGTTGTGAGTTTTGTTGGGGGTTATGTTATTTATGATTCGGGAGTGTCCATAAGGTTTATGAGTGCGGGTTTGCGAGGGGATAGTTGATCGGCTTGTGGAGGGTGTCGGTGATCTTCAAACTGAGAGCAGGCTCGAAGGGGTTCAAGAAATAATCTCGAAGGTACTTGAGCCCAAATCCAAACAGATGTTGGTACTACACCTTGTAATAGAGGAAGAAGCCTGACAAAAAGAGGGAGCCTAGAAAAGAGCACACCCTACAGGACCCTAGATGTGGAGAGGAAGGCGCCCCCAAAACCCCCCTCAGCTCTCGGGAGCTCTCGGGATCCATCAAAAGCCCGCGAGGCGCGCGGCAGCTTTGGAGCGGCTCAACCAGGTGGGCCTTATAAGAAGCTTTCGGGGGGAGGTGGCGAGGCCGAAGAGGCATCTGATGATCTGAGTGTTGCTGCGGATGATCTAATGGATGATCTAGTAAGCTCGTAGTGATGACGATGTTGATGATGATGCTGATTAGGACTATTTCTGTTTGTTTGGTTGCTATAGTGATCAGGAATGGTCCACATGTAAGCAACTTATGAACATATTCACGTGGAGGGAGGCAGTGAGGGAGAGTCGACAGTTCCAAGGCATATGACACCAGCATGGAGAACGGCAAGCATTGGGTAAGGGTGCCAGACACGACCTGATATTTTGTATCTCACTCTGTCGGCAACAACTCGCCGCTTGCCCGCTGTTACCCCGGAGGCGAAGAGAAGACGGGGCTAGGAAGCTCGCATTTTCATGGGGCTCCGCAGAAGCGCGTACTGGAAGATCATGCAAACTTTACATCCTCCCGCGCCGGGACCTCGTAGTCCGCCATACAACCCTCGCTCAAACAAAAGCCACGCCCTAAACCCTCAGCTCCTGGGTTCGGAGCTCCTTTTCCTCCGCGAGGCGGCGCCTCCCAGTCGCCAGAGGTGCCGTTCCGAACCTTTTTGTAAGGGGAAGTCTTCAGTCTTCTCAGGACACATGGAGCCGGTTGAGGGAGGTTTTCTTGGAGGGTAGCTGTGCTCCGTGGCTTCTCGGCAAGGCCGAAGGCACTTCGAAACGTGGTCGCCCCGGAGCCGTAGACGCCGAGGGCCATCGCCGCAAGTCGGTCCACCTTCCCAGGTGCCTAGAACCACAGCGAGCCTTTGCAGGCCAGGCCGAGCAACCAGCACGCCAGCACACGCCACAGCATGCCAGCGCACGCCAGCACGCTGCTCTGCTGCTGATCCAGAGTAGCGCACACGGCCAGGGCGGCTTCGGAAGCGAACGCCGCCTTCCGGGCGCACATGGAGGAGCCGGGAGCCAGGACTGAAGGCACAGGGGGCGGCTTCTGCCATGTCTTCGGAGGACAGCTCCGTGATCATCGACCCGCTCCTCGTCCTGGGCTCACACAAATCTCTACGTGCAGGGAGAGTGGGAGAGTGGGAGACTTCTCTTTGGGCTCTGAGGCAGAGCAGGATGGAGAGCTCTGGGGCTACTTCGCTGTCTACGATGGACACGGCGGGCGTCAGGCGGTGGACTTCTGCGAGGCCTTGGCCACGGGCCTTGTGTTTGACATCTTTTGACCACGTTCCGCTGTGCAGACGAAGCTCCACGGCCTGGTTCTCGACGAGCTCCTCAACGTCACGAGGCGCGGCAAATCAGCAACTCCTAGCTGCTCGCGCTGCAGCGGCCGGCGGCCGGCGGCCCGCCAGGATGGCGGGGGAGCCCGTGGCCGACGAGGTCGTCGGCGAGGTGCTCTCCAGGCCGTGGGGTCTTGGGAGAGACCCCTGCAGGGCGCTTCGTTTCTGCGCGCTTCTGCGCTTCTGCGCTCTGCAGGGCTTTTCGCCGTGTGGATGAGCAGCTGAAGCCTGGCCCTCGGTTTTCTTTGGTCGTTCTTTTGTTATACGCGCTCACACCTATTGATGAGATTTAGCTTCCCGTTCTCTGCTGCCTTTTCTCCAGAAATGGCTCGGCCCTTGAGGCTTCTGGGAACCTGGCGATGCGGCTGCACAGCCACCGTGGCGCTCGGGCTCGGATACGACGGCGCGAGGGGCACTTGCGGCTGACCTTGCAGAGATTTTTGCGTCCGGTCCGAGGTGCTGGCACACCGGACAGCTTCGGGGCTGCGTCTCCACGCGCGGGTTCTCGGAGACTTGTCAAAGCTGCAATGAATGCCGCTGTTGTTGGAGCAAAGTGTCCGAGTCGGCGAATGTTGGCGACTCGCGCGCCATCCTCCTGGAGTCCGGAAACAGTCCGAGTCGGGCGCCCGAAGGCAGAGCACAAGAGAGGAGACTGCCCCTCTGTGGCCGGGCCTCGGCTTTTGCTGTCTTCAGGCGAGTGCCGACTCACCCGCGACCACAGGCATGCGGCATGTCCTTCTCCGTGAAGCTTTCGCTTGAGTCCCTGCAGGTAGCCAGTCCACCTGCCAGGCCAACTGATCCCGCCGAAATCCAGCGGGTGGAAGCCGAAGGCCTGCAGCGGTTCTGGTCGTGGGGGCATGGCCGGACTCTGATCCGCTGACGCCTTCTCTGGGTCCAAGATGCGGCTGAAAATGGAGACAGTTGGAGAGAGGAGAGTTCAGAGATGTCGAGATCCCACCACTGCGTGCTTTGGGCACAGGCGGCTTCGTGGCGCGTGGCCGCGTGGTCGGCGCGGGAGCTCAGCCTCGAAGATGTTTTGTGAAGCACAGATGTCCCCCCTCCCGTCAGCTTCTCCGTGATCTTCCGTGCTACTTCAGTTTACTTCAGTGATCGTCTGCCACTCTGCTTGCCGCAACCGTTGAAACCGGCATTGTTGCCTGCAACTGCTGCCCAGGGCAACTTGGGGTTAGCCGGGCGCTGGGCGACCATTCGCTGAAGTCCGTTGGCCGGGTGCCCAATAAACATATTAATGCAGATGCACATGCACAGAAATGAGTCAGCCATATGATCGTATCAGCTCCCTCTGGGCATCTCAAGGCGAATAGACAATAGACGCTTGAAGTCGAAACCAACACGCAAAACGTGAAGCTCTTTGAAGCCCACACCCGTGGACCGGGAACCCTCAACAACCAAGCCCGAATCCGGCTTGACGCGCCCCTCCTGAGGGGTGACCTGGCATCCCCACATTTGCACGCGCGAAGTTCCGCAGGCGCGGCAAAGGGGGCTACTTCTGGTTTGTGGGATCGAAAGTAACTTGGTGCAGGACGCCGTTTTAGTGATTGCCAGCGATGGCCTGTGGGACGTAATGTGCTGGACTCAGAACACTGCTCAGAGTCCTACTTGTTCTTTCGCGATTCTCACCAGTCGATGTTGAGGTTGGCGATGATGTTGGTTGTAGATGATGTTGACGACATCGCTGTTGTTGTTGTTGTTGTTGTTGTTGTTGTTGTTGTTGTTGTTGTTGTTGTTGTTGTTGTTGTTGTTGTTGTTGTTGTTGTTGTTGTTGTTGGTGTTGTTGGTGTTGTTGGTGTTGTTGGTGTTGTTGGTGTTGTTGGTGTTGTTGTTTTGGTGTTGTTTTGTTGTTGTGTTGGTGTTGTTGTTGTTGTTGTTGTTGTTGTTGTTGTTGTTGTTGTTGTTGTTGTTGTTGTTGTTCTTGTTGTTGTTGTTGTTGTTGTTGTTGTTGTTGTTGTTGTTGTTGTTGTTGTTGTTGTTGTTGTTGTTGTTGTTGTTGTTGTTGTTGTTGTTGTTGTTGTTGTTGTTGTTGTTGGTGGTGGTGGTGGTGGTGGTGGCGGCGGCGGCGGCGGCGGTGGTGGTGAGGTGACGAGCTTGCTTGTGATAATGTCGACGACGACATTGCTGATAATGAGCAAGCATTTGGCATTGAATGCTGTTGAAAGGGCCATGAGGACGCCGTGCCGCCGAAATCACGCACCAAGATGATAACGATGGTGCTGGCGAGGTTGATGATAATCAAGATGATTACGACGATGATGACTTCGTGTTGTGTCGTGGCGGTGTTGACGCTGACTACTGGCGACATGTCTCTTTCACCCGATGGAATGCACCTCACGTCAGATGTTTTTGTTTCGTCAGGTCCGATGGCGACGCCCGGGCTGTGGTCGATCGCAACGTCGCCGAGCGCCTGCAGGATAAGGCGGGTTGAGAGTAGACTCCTGACTTAATGAGGCTGCTACATGGTGGTCATCGTCATCGTCATCATCATCAACACCATCATCAGCCGTCACCGTCACCGGCAGACAGGAGTGAGGCTACTCCGGAAGAAAGAGCTCGAGTGTCGAAGACCCACAGCCTAAACCAATGCAAAAAACACCAGCAATTGCCGCAGCAGATAGGACTACGAATACGAGAACCGGAGATGGCGAGGACGAGGGTGAGGAGGAGGAGGAGGAGGACGAGAAGGAGGACGAGGAAAACGACGCTGTCGACGACAGCAAGGAAGACGAGGAGGAGAGAGAAGCGCAACGACAACGACAGAAACGACAGGAGCAGGGCTAAGCCCGGGTTCAGGGAGGAAGTGCTAGCAAGTGCTCGTTGGTGCCAGGCTCCCGAGTTCTTGATCAAGGCTGCGCTCCGTGCAGGTGCCGAGGGCCGTGCGCGGAGAGTGCGGATCTTGTCATCGAAGCGGAAGCCCCGAAACCGGTGCCGAAAGACTTCCCCCAAGCCTCGCGGAAAGCGGCAAGAGATCTTTGCGCCAGGGAGCACGGACAATACCACGGCCTTGGTCGCCTTCTTTGGCTCAGTCCAGGCCCCGGAACTAACGGTGGCGGTGCCGATTGTTTTGTGGACGGTGACTGTTTCGGTCTTCGTCATTCCGTGCCCTGTCTTCTGCATGCGTCTAGACAAAACTCGTCTTCTCCACTCGCTTCCCAGCCTGACCTCTCGTCACCGTCACCATCGTCAGACCAGTGCCGCGTTGCTAAGGTTGCCACCAGCTCCAGCCCCTCGTGAGCGCGGAGCGGCTGAGCGGCTGAGCGCCGGGGTGCGGCTTCCGTTAAAGTCAGCGGGAACGGTGCGCTTTGCCACGGGCGCCTCTGAGGGGAGGACGGCGGACATCCCCACCATTTCATACTTTCATCCCCTTAGAAGTCAGCTCTTCTTGACCGTGAGGATGAGGAGCATCTTCGCAGCATCCGCAGTCCTCAGAACAGGCTGAAATCCCCGAGAGTGCCCGAAATTCTGGGCCTCTGGGCATTTCCTTGGGGCGAAGCTGTCGGCCCCTGTCTTCAACGCTCGAGGCGATGTGAGACGGGGCCCGAGGTTCGTCAATCTGCCGTGAGGCGTTTATTGTCGGTGTGCTGCTCCGGCGAATTTGCAAGCACACTCATGTTGTAAGTCGGTCATAAGCCGTGTCCGTCTTCTGGGCTGTTTTAGTGGAGAGGTTGATCTTACGACATTCACCGCAGCGGTGCGCTTCTCACCTTAGAGCTGAGGGACAAGAAGGCTCTCAGCGCGACCCTTAGCCCCCGCTGATCCTCAGTGGGCGCGAGGCGATCGAGTTTAGAGCAGAAATTTCGTGGCATGTCTCTTCAAGTGAACCCGAGTGTGGCAACAACGTTGTGCAAGTTGTCACAATCTGTCCATCACTGCCCGCCATGCAGGAAGCATCACCAGTGCAGAAGGCCTTAGCATCGAAAAGGGTGGAATGCCAAATCAACCACAGTATCGTTGCGGTGAAGATGTTGTCCTAGCTGAGCTAGCTCGTTCTGATTGGTCAGGGACATCAGAAGGATGGTGTTGTAGTGGCAACCCTAGCAATAGCGGGTGCAGTAGGTGTTCAGTAGCTTCCGCAAAACAATTGGTACAATTGATCCTTTCCCCATCCCTGTCCCCATGCAAACATGAGGATGTCCTTGGAACGGTAGGGAGCTTTCACAACAAGACTCTAGTTGCTGGCAACATCTTGCAATGGGGGATCTTGTTTCGACGTGCGGAACCCGGCCGTCTGCTGTCGGCACGGTGTGATTGTACGTGATTCGTTGCGCTAGAGTTTACTTGGTCAGACGCTGCTTGTCAGCATCGGGTGCGTCTGAGAATTTGCAAAGCATGAAAGCCGCTTGTAGTCAAGGTGCATGTGGTCGCACCCTCAGATTCGGTTCTGAGTTCTGATGTCCATGCGGCCCATGCGTTATACGCGGTGTTCGATTTAGACAGGAAGACATAAAGGAGAGGTGCAGAGAACCCAACAGTGCAGCTGCGGGTGTGTTGTATTTGAGCCGCACGCCAGGTGCGAGTGCGAGGATCTGGAGGACGAGGGGCCCCAGGCCGTCGCCCAAGGAAAACAGAGTGCTTCGAAGGAATTGGTGACCATTCTGTTTTCCCAAGGCATTGAGAAGGGTTTTCCGTGGAGGTGGTTTCTGCAGGATGGACTTGCTGTTGGTTGGATGGAAGGATGGATGGATGGATGGATGGATGGCATGATGGGAGGTTGTGGTGCGGTTGATGGAAGGCATTATTATGAATATTTTCGTGAGGTCGTCTCCAAAGCATATATATATATATAATAATAATATATACACACACACACACACTCACCTTTTTTCATATGTCGAGAAACGTACACACATGTATAAACATACGTATATATATATATATATATATATATGTATATGTGTAGGTACGTATGTATGTACCCATGTATGCTGTTGTTGAAAGCACGGGGCTGCACGCTCTCCAAGGCGCTTGCTTGAATTTGCTTTCTCGCACCCTCCCAGGACTCATGGGAAGCTGTTTCCGAACATAGCTGGAGCCAGACCCTGTAGACACAGCCCGCAAAGCTTCCCAAAAACCTGCGGATGAGACAGCCATAGGCCTTTGTGCTGCAAGCAAAACACTTGCAGGCTTAGTGGGTGCTCAGCGCAGCCCAAAACGATTACTTCGTCCAATCAACGCGTCCATCAACTCCTTCCTTCAGTCACCTCACTCAGTGCAGACATTTTGTGATGCACACGTCCATTCACTCCGGCGGCATGCATCTCCGTTTGCTCGTCCACTCTGCTCATTCACATGTCCGCCTTTCCATGGGCTTCGGGCTGGCAGTGTTTAAGGTTTTAGGTTTTGGGGTTGTAAGGCTTGGGGCATGAAGCAATGCGGCTAGGGGCTCAGAATTGGTGGCTCACCTCGAGAATCCTTCTGCCAAACAGGCATGAACACGAACCACTGCTTGAAAGTTGAGCACCTTCGAGCGGGCTATCATGGTTGTGGGCTTTTTTCTGAGCGTTACACTGGAACGTTTGGCAGACTTCAGTCCTGAATCATGGACTCCGCAGACCCAAACCCTAAATCTCAAAGCCTGAGGCCTAGAACCCCAGACCCTCCACTCTGGACCCTTAATCCACCAAAAAAGCTTAAGCTGCGGCCGGAGGCACAAGGGCCTCCGAAGCGTCGAGACCCCAGCAAGATCAGAGCCAAAGACACTGCAAGCCCCGGAGTCTTTTCAATGACTACTCTGGCGTTCTCGTTCATGTCCTGATACATGCACGCACCCTTGTTTAATGGGCAAACGTACCTCCTTCCCATATGTGAATCTAGACATGTGCATGTGTTTGTATGTGGGTATACATTCCGCATACAGAGACGTGCAGTCGGAAAGCTTCATAGCTTTTTTGGTTCTCTGAATTTATCCCGCATGCCCACATATACGGCCACTGCTAGAGCTGCTGCTCTCCTACTTACGACATCTGCCCAAGTAGATGCCTCCTGAACCCCGGATACTTTCCGTAAGCCGTAAGCCTTGAGTGCCAGGTCCTTGTATTGATGGAGTCGGGGACTTGGCGAGCGTCCTGCGGGTCAATGAACCCAGCGGTCGATGCTTTAGGTTAGTCTTGGGTGTCGCTTAGGGTTTAGGCCGTTCTTTTGTTCGGCAGATGCTGCGGTGTTTGAGCCGCAGGTGGCACCTGCGGGGCCTGTGCTACTCGGCAACGTGGTCGCCTCGGTGCTTTCGATGTCGAGGGCGGCAGTGAGGGGCCGTCCTTTCGCGGGGTTGCTGGGACCTGGGGCATGGCACGATGCAGCATTCTGGTCGTTGTAGGAACAGAGCAGCCCGCTCGTCGTTAGGTCTTCCCGGCCAGACAAAGCCACTCAGAAACGGGTTTCAGGTGGTTGTAGCCATTAGGTTTGAAGACGTTCCTTGTTTTGCGATGCTTCCTTGAGCTGCAGGTGCCTTTGACCTCCCAGTGCCGCGCTTGGACGCTTGGACCAGGATTTTGACCCTGTTGGGGATTGGGGTCGGACGACGACAACTATTACCACGACGACACTGCTGCTACCACTACCACTACCACTACTACTACTACTACTACTACTACTACTACTACTACTGCTACTACTACTACGACTACTACTCGCTTCCCCTACTATTAAAACCGCACTGGCCAGAGTATCTTTGGTATTAGGGGAGGGGAGGGTTATCTCAGAGCTTCCAATATCTTGCAAGCAATGAGTTAGGATTTCAGGGTTTAGGTGGGAGGCTGAAGGGATTTCCACGGATTATTGTGGAGCTGTCTACGGTTTGTGGTAGGGTGGTTTCTTGCTTTGGGGATGTCTTCGTATAAATTCCTAGATAAAGCGCCCAATGTAAATGCACCTTTCCTAGATCAGCTAGAAGTCCTCGAATTCTGAGCAATATCCTTTTGGAGACCCAAGCCTCCAATGCTTCAAATCCCTCCCTCCCTAAGTGTCGCCCTGCCTGCAAAAGTAGCCTTGGGGTGATTTCTTGTGGTTTGGGTCACTGGAAAAGACATAATATAATACTGGGGGTTAGGTATTATGTAGAAGCGATTGCGACGACGACGACTACTACTACAGCTAGAACTGCCACTGCATCTACGCTGCCCAGGAAAGTAGTCATCCGCAACACCTTCATCGAAGTCGAGGCCAGTCGTAGAGGGTAAATTCAAAAGAGGCATTACGCTGCACGCATGTGACGTTAGGTTTGAAGACGCTCTTCGTTTCGCGATGTTTCTTTGAGCTGCAGGCGCCCGCGCTGCTGACCTCTCAGTGCCGCGCTTGGACCAGGATTTTGGCAGTGTTGGGGTTTTGGGTACCGTGACGACGAAGACTACGACGACGACTACGACGACGACTGCTACTACTGCTATTGCAACGACGACGACGACTGCTACTGAATTACTACTACTACTACTACTACTACTACTACTACTACTACTACTACTACTACTACTACTACGACTACTACTAGGACGACGACGACGACGACGACGACGACGACGACGACGACGACGACTACTACTACTACTACTACTACTACTACTACTACTACTACTACTACTACTACTTATGACTGTACATAGGCTGGGGCCGTGTGCTGTCCGTGTTTGTGCGTGATTACTGATCTTGCTGCTGCTCCTGCTCCTGTTCCTGCTCCTGCTCCTGCTCCTGCTGCTGCTACTGCTCCTGCTACTGCTCCTGATACTGCTACTGCTACTGCTGCTGGCATTGTTACTGCTGTTACTGTTAACGTTGTTACTACGACTACTACTGCTGCTGCTATTGCTGCTACTAGTACTGCTGCCACCAGTACTGCTACTAGCACTGCTACTAGTACTACTACAAGTTACTACAACAGCAACCACTACTAGTACTAGGTAATAGGTCCAAATGGTGGTCAAGCAGCGTCTTCACACTCCGCACTGCCCCGAATTTGCTTACTCCCCCCACCGGTGACTCGGTCACCTGCCACCAGCCACACTTCGCCAGGGAGTTTTTATGAGCTTTCGGAGGCGCAGGGTCTTGCAGAATCACAAATGGGCGCCGGCATACCGCAGTACTCGATGGCATACTGTGGTATAGTATCGGTCGAAGGCTGCAGCATACTCCTTGATCAACGGTAACACCTGACCAAAAATAGGTTTGGCTATCATCTCGCACGTGAAAGCCGGTCATCATCAACTTTCACCACCAGCCTGCCTCAGACCAACACTTTTGCGCTCGAAGCAGTCCCGTCCCCAAGGACTCATGTCCTGTGCTGCTGGGAAACGTGGTCGCCTCGGTGCTGCCGATGTCGACGGTGACACTGACGGGCCCTCTTTCCTGGGTTGCTGGGATGCAGCATTGGGGTCGTTGAGCAGCCCAATGCCAACCAACACGTCGCAGGGACGGTGTCGCACGAGAGACGAGCCAGAACATGTAAACTCACCCCGAATGCACGCTACATAAACCTCAATCTACCCGTCCCCCGATCCGCGAGGTGGCAGCAAATCGCCAGAGGTGCCGCGGCCCCTCCTCGATGCCCTTTCCAAACCTCACTTGGAGTCTTCTATCATGTCAAGGAATGGAGGTTTTCAGAAAGGTCTTGTTGGAGGTTAGATGCGGTCGCTCCGTGTCATCTCGGCCAGGCGGCTGCCTACCTCGATGGCATACGCGCACCTCTCCTGCTAGACTCTCTACCAGGGTTTGATTCGGAAGGTTCCCAAGCAAAGCCTCATCAACGCTGTCCGCAGCGGCCCGACTCCTTTGCGCCGCACGGGGAACTACGGAAATGGCGGTAGTGATTCCTTAGACGGTTGTAGTACATTCATTGGGAGAAAGCAGCTTCAAATTTGCATGTTCTGCGTCCACGAACGTGAGATGCAACCCAGGAGGAGCGACAGAGGACCTTCAGGCAAGATGGGGCTGCTCAGTGTGGGTGAGGGTGAGAGCAGGGATGTTATTGTGGGCCCGGCTTTAATTTGACGCCCCCCTCTGTTTTTTAACACCGCCTCTTTTTAAATAACATCTCCATCTTTTCGAGGCACAGACATCTCCTTGCCGACCCCCCCCACCCCCACGCTATCACTGTCTCCCCCCCCCCTTCCGTTTTTCAACCCCACGCAAGTCCTTTTTCAACTCCCCCCCCTCCTTTCCAACCCCCCCCGCCCGGCTCCCCTCCCCCCTGCCTCACCCCCGTCCGCAACGCGACATGTTTGTGATGGCGATTCCCGGTCACGTCGTGCTAAATGCAAGGTTGCAGAAGGCTGTTTTGCTTCCTTTCGTTTGCACCCCCACCATTCGAACACGGTTCGTGAAAGGCGTGCTGTTCCAGCTTGCATGGTTACCTGGGCCCGGTATTCGAGAGCCTTCAAATCCGTAAGTCAAAAGTCCCAAAATTCCCAATTCGGAAACCCCCATATCATTCTTAATATCTGAGATCCCAAGGCTCCGAACTCGAGCAGCCCGACATCCCCTCAACCACAATGTCTAAAACTCCGAACTCCAAAGCCTTCTTTTGCTTAGCTTCTTTGAGGACCCGGGCGAAGAACTCGCACCGTTCCAAGAAGGCCTTCCGCAATTCGGGGGTTTGTCGAAGGTCCCATGCAAACACACCTTCCACCGTCTGCCACTGCAAACACATACCGCTCCATACGCCATGGTAGTAACTCCTGATCACACACCCTTTTGCTACTTCCTACATCTTGCTGATACGTGGGCATCTAAGACGTTTAAAAAAACGGTAAACCTTCTCCATCCTCTTCAGCTCAGCTTTTGCAACTGGGGCCTGGCCACCCTTGATGCAGCCAGGGTCGTCCGCCGCCGCGGGTCGTCAGGCGAGGGAGCTGGGCAGCTGCCGGGTACGGGTTTAGGGCGTTCGCGGTTGTGGCAGTGGCAACTTTCTCGCTGGTTTGGTTTTGGCTCCTGCGAGGACATTGTAGCAGTCTGGCACATGTCGTGTATCTTCTTGCGTTTATAAACGTGGGCCAGCGTCTGTGCTGAGGCAGCATGTCGCTGGTCATGACAGACCCCGGTATGGGTATGGGAAGGTCAAGTAATTGATTGTATCTGTAGAAACCCTTTGTATACCCCCCCATCTGTGTGCCCCATCATATTTCATTTGTTCAACCAAAGCGAGGCTGAGCTACAGTGTGTTGCCACGCGCTCACGTGTTCGGTACAGCACCATGCCCGGTAGTGCTGCAAGGGGGACGTTATAGTTATAGTCCTTCTTACACAAGTTAGTCTTGTCCTTTAAGCTTCTTTCTGGCCCAGATGACCGTGCCCGTGGTTTTCCAAATGTCATATGATTCAAGTTTCAACACCGATGATGATTTTGGGCCCCACTTAGTTGCACAGTCCGGATGTGATTCAGCCTTTCCCACGACAGCATTCAAGAGAGTACTAGGCGCACCGCAGCATCGGACAGGACATGACCTATGGGGGGACAATCGTAAGCAAAAGGATACAGCCTTGCCGCAGAATTTTGAAGGTAGACTGGCGGCGTTCGAGAACCAGAAAGGATGATGGTGTTTTCGGGTATGCATCGAGCACCCCCTCCGCCGTGTATTCTTGTGAAATTTCCCTGTCTTGAAGGGCCGTGTTGACTTGTCCTCATGCGAGCGTAGTTTTTCATGTTTAGTTCTGGACGCACCCTGTATGACAGACGTCTTGGGCTCAGACCAAAAAGTGCGCTCGTTGTGTGGTTGGACACTCACTAATCCAGTTCCTGCTTCAAACTGGTAGCGGAGCTGTGAGGACAACCACTAGTGTTTCACCCCCGTTGAGCCTGAGGTCCGGGGTCCGTTGGGTAGAGTAGTGATAGTCGCGGCGCAAAGGCCCCTTCTATCCTCGAAGCCATGAGCGTGGCAGGATTGCGTTACCAGCCCAATCTCTGGTCACAGAACCTGAGCCCTGCCGAGACCAAAAGCGGCTCGTACATATACGACGGGTCAGCTGCTGGGTTCCACGATTGGTGCTTCCGGACACAGATCCGCGTGCTGCAGCATAAGGAAAAGCAGCGGCGTGAAGCTTTGAAGGACTTGCGTTTTGCTGAATCGGCAAAGTCCAAAAGCGAGTCACCAAGGAAGTGGCGCGGCAGAGCCAGTCAAGCGACCAGTGCACACCCCACCGAGGGTGATGCGAGCAGCGGTATACCCGCTAGTCCGTCCAGTGCAAGGCGGACTAAGCCCGTGTCCGAGGCAGAAGATGAGGATGCGGAGTCGTTACCGTCACACCCCAGTCAGGTGACGGGCGACGATGAGCAAGAGCCGGACACAGATCCGGTGTACACGTTGCAAGACGTCAAAGACGAATCGCTCGACATGAGCGAGTGCGTCAGCAAGATTTTGGAAGGTCTCCGAGGGGATGCCTTCTGCATTGCGCGCGACGTCGGTTTGGAACGTTTGCTCCGACATGACGGCATTGACTACCTGATAGAGGAAATCAGGAGACAAGCCTTCCCTCTTCAATCCGAAGAGGCGTCCGAACTTTTCCGTCAGGGACAGCTCCTGACGGGCCCACTTGCAAAACAGCCTGGCGAGCTTATGTTGTCTTACATAGCCCGCCGAAAGAGGTGGTGGTCGACCTTGCGAGAACTGGACCCTGATATCCGTCTTTCCGAGACAATGAGAGCTAACCTCCTTGTTGAGCTTTCGGGATTGGATAGGTCTGAACAGCTAATGGTCAAGACCGCTGCCCGCATGCACAGTGTGGATGAGTACGCACGCGTCCTTGTTCAGCATCACTCAGTGGTGCATATGAAGGAACGTCTTCTGACCCAGAAGGACCCTAGTGGCCCAGGTAGGACCTGGAGACGTTTTGACGCTAAGCCCCAATATCCTAAGTTCGGTTACATGGGATATGATGGCAGTGCCGTAGAGTATGATCACCAGGAACAGCACGAATCCGCGGAAGGCTACGGTGACGGCTACGGTGATGAAGCGTACCAGGCCACAGCGTCTGGGGGAGGTGATGCGGATGAATGGATCGATGATGAGGATCTAGCATTGCAACTCAATGCCTATACGGCGGTGGCATATGAAGCTGAGGTTGATGACTTGGACGATTCCTACGCCGAGTCAGTTCAGCTTGCATACGCGGCACAGACCGCATTTGCCCAGGCAAAAGGAAAAGGAAAGGGGAAGAACAAGGGCAAGCCCACCGGGAAATCCGGCGGGAAGGTCGTGCTTAGTAACCTGACTATTGCTGACCGCAAGGCTAAGCTTGCAGAGCTTAAGGCCAAGAGTAGGTGCTTGAAGTGTGGTGTGATTGGCCATTGGGCCGGAGATGCTGCCTGCAAGTTTAGCGGTAAGGGCAATGGCCCCAAGGGAACTGCAACCCCAGCACAGTCTGGGGGAACTGCCAATGCAGCCGCAAAGTCGGCGGCGCCGAAGCCTCAGGCGTATTTCGCCGCAGTGGAGGAGGATGACACAGAGTGTGTCCATCTGTCGAATGCGAGCGCTGGTAGGCTCGAGGGTTACCCAGCCAACCTTGAGCTGACTCCCTCAAAGACCAATACCGGTAAAGGCCGCGGCAGTGAAACCCTCTTCTCACCACAGCTTCGGCGCACAGCCGCCGCAGGGATCATGCGTGATAGCCCCCCTCCGGGTTCTGATCGCGTTTTCTCTTTCGGCCAGCATAAGGGGTTGACGTATGAGCGAGTTCTCTACACATACCCCGGGTATATCCTTTGGGGACGCACGCAGAAGTGCCCATCCATAGGGTTGGCTGACTTCCTGAATTGGACCACAGAGTACTTTGATGTGCGTGACGATACCCCCATCAGTATTACAAGAAGAGATGTTCCTCTCAGTCAGGAGCCCCCGCCTGAACCCTTCCAGCCCGAGGCTCGCCTCGCCGCCTCAGCTGCTTCGTCCAGCGAAGGCCCCCGGAAATGCCGGGGAGGGTGCAAGGAGTTCAATAAGTCGGGAAGCAACGCATACATAGACATGCGGACTTGCAAGAAATGCGGCACAGTTACAAAGACGAAGAAGGAGAAGCCTGTCATAGACCAGGCCACATGCCCACACACCTCCACAGAGAGGTCGGGTAGTAGCAGGAGACTTCCCGCATTAAGTGCAAGCTTTGTGGGATGCTTCTAGATGAGCAGCCGCAGACCGAGCGAAAGGCTAGGGATGACGCAGCCACAGGGCTGCGGGAGTCCAACACCCTGGACTTCGATCTCCTGCGCAGCATAGTCGGCAGCACGGGGGATAGCCTCCCCGTAGAGGTAGTAGTTCCGGCTATTGCCCAGTTTCAAGAGACCGTAGAGGGTCACTTCGTAACCGAGCCCGTGATATCTCGCGGTGACCTTCTCGCATACCTGCAAGAGGCCTTAGATGACCACTCAGCGCCATCGACCAACAACAGTTGGGAAGTGGCGTCGGCGAGGTCGCGCTCTTCGAGGGCCTCCGCGACGAGGCACGCCTTCGTGGCTTTTACCGAGGGGGTCACAGATATCCATCCGGCTTTGGTTGATTTGCCCGTAGTAAACATCTACGAGGACGAGCATGTATACGCCGTGTTAGATGAGGGATGTAACTCGACTGTTCACGGTAGCGATTGGATAGCAAACGCGGCAGGGAAACTTGCGAACTTCGGTTACAGCACGAGGTTTAAGCCTGAAGGGAATCGTACCTTCAAGGGTCTTAGCGGCGCTACCGAGACTTTGGGTAGCAGGACCATACCTTTCTCTATAATGGGATTGGAGCAGGACTTGAGAGTTCCAGGCGTCCTTGATTCGCATGAGATTAAGGGTACCGCCCCTCTTCTCTTGTCCCTTTATGCGCAGGCCCAGCTTGGTATAACCAAAGATCTACGGTTTGGCGTGTGTGGTGTTCGGCTTCCTTCGGAGGACACTGCGAACGGACTGCGATGCCTTGTCAAGTTCTAAGGTGTCACTATAAGAGCTGTGAGCAAGACCGTGTAAAGTGCAAGGGAAGGGGGCACGCCACGCGTCCCTCGTCTCTAGGAGTAGGCTTGTGGTAGTGCTACGCACACCGCAATGCCTATCCATCCTTTCAGTATGACCGCCCATGCAACGTTTGGCTCAAGAATGAGCACAAGCTCTAGAAAGCATTGCCCATAGCTAAAGTGCTATAATCTTCTGTGATCCTCCGAGTAGACAGAGCTATCCCGTGCACAGACGATCCACCGCCGGCCGTGAGTGTGCAAAACGAGCGAACGTTGGATCTGCCTGCATAGAGTGCGTGTGTGGAAGTGGAAGTAACGGTGATCCAGCTTGTGGAAGGCAACCACGCCAACAGTCAATACAGCTCTTTGTGGGGTGAGCGATACAGAACATTACCAGGATCAAATCCCCACGCAGGTTATCAGCCGTACGCGGCTCTGCCTTTCTGCAGCAAAGACTACTTGATCTACTACGACCACAATGAACTCGGGATCAAGTCAAGATACGACAATGACTTTCGGTGCCGATGTGGCAGCGCCAGCCGTTGGTGAGTCAACAGCTGATGACACAGTGGTGCAATCCGTTGATAGCTCCACGGAAGATGACAAAGGTCAATCTTCTGCGGTTGCGCCCACTGTTTTTGCTCTAGGTGATTGCGGAAAACTTTGTGTGATTCGGACCAAGGATGTGCTTTACCATTTTCCATCAGCTGGTTGCGCTTCCCCGTAAAACCTTTGCGTTGTCTACGGCTAACGTTCCAGACCGTGGAGCTGTTGCCACCTGGATCCAAAATGAGCTGGTCATGAACCCATTTCACCCGATCCTTTCGAGCCATTCTTTTCGCGATGTTCCGTAGGCGAGGGTGGTCTTCCGAGTTTGCGGCGTGTGCTTTTCTAGCGGCCTCTAGGGCCTGTAGCGTGGCGTCTTGGATCCACGGTGTTCTTGGTAGTCGCTTCTGCGGGGGAAAGGTCGCCTTGGCGGCGGCATTAATCGCCGAGCTGAAGGCGTCCGAGGTCTGTGCTTGTCGATGGTGTGGCGGTGTGGTCTGAGGCAGCGCGATATTACGACCCCCTACCGATTCTGTGTTATGTTTGCCCTGATTGGCTAGTGTATCTGCTCTTTCATTTCCTTCTGTTCCTGCGTGTCCCTTGACCCAGTGCAGCTTCATGTTCATGCCGCTGTGTTTGAGTAATTGTTGTCCCGCTGCTACCAAGTCTTTATGCGTTTTGGCGTGCCATCTGCCCGTGAGTACGTTAATGGCCTATAGACTGTCTGAGTGTATGTGTAGCGTACCATACTCCATTTCGAGAGCAAATAGAATGGCTTCAATAATCGCGCTCAACTCACCCGTGTTGTTCGATCCCACCCGTGCTCCAAGGAATTGTATGTGGGTGTGGTCTGTGATAACCGGACCATAAGCATCAATCCAGTCGTCGCCTTGGCGGGCAGTCCAACCCCAGCCAGCCGGCGTGTTCGCCGAGCACTTCCCACTATGTCCGCAGCCGTCTGTAAAAACTGTCAGCTTGGCGGTGTGGTCTGAGGATGGGGGGGTTGAGGGCTTGGGTGGCTGTCCGAGGGATTTTGCCAGCTCTGAGTGAAAAGTCGCTCTTTGATCAAGGGAAACAACCTTCAGGTTGAGGCGGGGCTTAACGCTATGGATCTTAGTCCTATGAGCTAGTTTGACCTGTACCTCTGTGACAACGAGATAGTGGTCTGTGGGGAAGCCCGTGTGTAACTTAGAGCGGCATGAGTTGACGGTAGGGAGCCATTGCGCCCTCGTAAAGGTGTGGTCTAGTCGCTGGAATCTTTTCGGGTCGGGGGTGGGTTCCTTTTGGGACGGCGGCAGAGGCTGTTCGAGGGGTAAGTAAGATCTGATGCGAGCTGCTACATCAATACAATCATGACCATACTGCTCCTGGAGCTTGCCCCAAAACTGTACCATGACAGGTGGGTCCAAGACAAACTGTGACCATTCCGAGGGGGGGCTGCCTTATCTCTATAAGTAATGTGATGGACTGGGTTAGGAGTCTTGTATGACTATACCTCAACCATATTCTGTTGTTTAAGGAACTGAACACACAGACTTCGGTTTGATGAGGCGGTGTGGTCGATGGCCTTGCGGCCCTTACCGTATGTATACGGACCCAAAACTCCCTGATCCGGTGTGTGGGTACCTTGGAAGCGGACGTTAAAATCGCCTACTAGGTAAGTTGGTTCTGGTTGGGGAATTTTGCTAATGTGTTCGTCGAGTTGTTGCCAGAACAGCTGCCTGGTTGTCTCCAAGTCGTGCCCCGAGTGCGGGGCGTAAGCACCTAATACATGCAGGCGTCCACCTTTCTTATTAAAGGTAAGATGTATCAGCCTATTGGAAATTTGTATAACGTCCGCTAGGTGTGGTCTAACGCGTGGGTGAACGATCGCGCCGACTCCTGCATGTTTATCTAGATGATTACCAGACGTGATCACCACATGTTGCTCCGAAAGTACGAGTAGTATGAAGTACTTTTGGTCTCGGACAACATGAGAACGTCCAGATGACACTCTTCCATCAACTTAAGCGCCGATTTGAGCTTAAGCGTGTCGGCCATACCTTGGACGTTCAAGGACCCAACCCGAAATTTCGAGCCGTACGGCATTGGCGGTGTGGTGTGCGCCTTCTGCGGTTTGGGCCGTTTGTTTCGCTTCATGTGCTCCTGCCAATGTAGTGCTTGTCTGAACCACTGAGAGGTCTTCTGAGTGGTTTTTGTGGACTGGGTGGAGGAAGGGGAAAGGGTGTCCCCCCGCCCCCGCGCGTTGTGCACAGCCGCTGCGCCACTTACGGTACGCCCGTCTTCGGGCGGCCCTTTTCGTGGCCCCCTGCTGCGGTTTGTCTGCTCCTCCACCCTCTGGGGAACACTCTTCGACATGGAGGCGGTGTTGCTGGCTTACCTGGTTTGTTAAATCTACGAATTCTACTTGTTAATTGGCAGCGTGTGCGCTTTGTTCGACGATAATTAGTGAAACCTCCCTCTGAATTCCGGTACCTAACCCTATGGCCTGTTCTACTTCGAGATGCCTGGGCCTGAGAAGTGAAACATGGCGGTGTGGTCGTAGGTCTGGCGACTAGGGTTGCGAAAGGGTTTGGGCAAGTGTTATTGACTTTTCTAAATGCAAGCAAAGTTTCCCGGTTATATGATGGAGTGTTTGGGGGTATGAGTGTATCTAGACAAAGCGTAAACACCGTGTTACCGTGAAGGGCGTGTTGGTCTTTTTCTTATACTATGATATATTGTGTTCTATTCTATCGTATTCTATGCTGCGTTTCTTGTGTCGGCTCAAGAGCGAACCATGGGGCGAGAAAAATACAGGCCCGGGGTTGTCTGGAGCTGTTTTGGTCTCAGCATGTCCTCACCCTGCAGGGCCGACCGCCACGGCGGCCAGCAAAGCCCTCCAGGCTGGGATAGTAGTAGTAGTAGTAGTAGTAGTAGTAGTAGTAGTAGTAGTAGTAGTAGTAGTAGTAGTAGTAGTAGTAGGCAGGCTGGGATAGTAGTAGTAGTAGTAGTAGTAGTAGTAGTAGTAGTAGTAGTAGTAGCAGTAGTAGTAGTAGTGTAGTAGTAGTAGTAGTAGTAGTAGTAGTAGTAGTAGTAGTAGTAGTAGTAGTAGTAGTAGTATTAGTAGTAGTAGTAGTAGTAGTAGTAGTGGGATAGTAGTAGTAGTAGTAGTAGTAGTAGTAGTAGTAGTAGTAGTAGTAGTAGTAGTAGTAGTAGTAGTAGTAGTAGTAGTAGTATAGTGGTAGTAGTAGTGTAGTAGTAGTAGTGGGGAGAAAGCTACTGCTACTGCTGCTGTGCTGCTGCTACTGCTACTGCTACTGCTACTGCTACTGCTACTGCTACTGCTACCGCACTGCTACTGCTACTGCTACTGCTGATACTGCTACTGGCTACTGCTACTGCTACTGCTACGGCTACTGCTACTGCTACTGCTACTGCTACTGCTACTGCTACTGCTACTGACTACTCGCTACTGCTGACTGCTACTGCTACTGCACTGGCTACTCTACTGCTACTGCACTGCTACTGCACTGCTACTAGCTACTGCTGCTGCTGGCTGCTCCTGCTCCTGATCCTGCTCCTGCTGGCTGGTGCTCCTGCTGTGCTTCTGCGGCTGCTGCCCTGCTCCTGCTCCTGCTCCTGCTCCTGCTCCTCCTCCTACTACTACTCCTACTACTACTACTACTACTACTACTACTACTACTACTACTACTACTACTACTACTACTACTACTACTACTACTACTACTACTACTACTACTACTACTGCTACTAAACTACTACTTCTTCTACTACTACTCCTACTACTACTACTCCTCCTACTCCTCCTACTCCTCCTACTCCTCCTACTCCTCCTACTCCTCCTACTCCTCCTACTCCTCCTACTCCTCCTACGCCTCCTACTACTCCTACTCCTCCTACTCCTCCTACTCCTCCTACTCCTCCTACTACTCCTACTCCTACTCCTACTCCTACTCCTACTCCTACTCCTACTCCCACTCCTACTCCTACTCCTACTCCTCCTACTCCTACTCCTACTCCTACTACCCCTGCCCTGCCCCTACTCCTACTCCTACCCCTACCCCTACTCCTACTCCTACTCCTACTCCTACTCCTACTCCTACTCCTACTCCTACTCCTACTACTCCTACTCCTACTCCTACTCCTCCTACTCCTACTCCTACTCCTACTCCTACTCCTACTCCTACTCCTACTCCTACTCCTACTCCTACTCCTACTCCTGCTCCTACTCCTACTCCTCCTACTCCTCCTACTCCTCCTACTCCTCCTACTCCTCCTACTCCTCCTACTCCCTACTCCTCTCCTACTCCTGCTCCTGCTGCTACTGCTACTGCTACTACTGCTACTGCTACTGCTACTGCTACTGCTACTGCTACTGCTACTGCTACTGCTACTGCTACTGCTACTGCTACTGCTACTGCTACTGCTACTCCTACCGTTACCCCTACTCCTACTCCTACTCCTACTCCTACTCCTACTGCTACTGCTACTGCTACTGTGTAGCAGCAAACTGCTTCGTTTCCGTCGAGTAGACATGTTTAACCAAGTCTCACAGCCAAGCAAGCAACCATGGCAAGCTCGGCCTTCGAATTTCGGATCTTTTTCGCACAGCAAGCTGAAAGGTCATGGGCATCTGTGCATACCATGCCTTTGGTTGATCTTGCCTTAAGTCAGCTGACTTCTTGCCTTCTTAGCTAAACTGCCAGCTTCACAGTCAAAGGTGGCCCTTGAGCCATGCCGTCTGCGACGAAAACAAGGTTCCCCCCTATCCCAGCTCCACTAGGATAAACTTTACATGGACGGGGGTTCGGGACATCAACATACTGCTACAGCTACTCCTACTCTTACTCTTACTACTACTCCTACTCCTACTCCTACTGCTACTCCTACTGCTACTGCTACTGCTACTGCTACTACTGCTGCTCTCAGAAGAAAGCAGCCACCAAGACTCATATAAGGAAATGCGGGGCAGCAGCGCGGCAAAGGAAAAGTGCAAAGCCCAGCACCGTGAGTTTCTGTCGTTAAGACTGGGGTTTAGGGCTTAGAGGGTTGAGGGTTTGGGGTTTAGGGCTTAGGGGTTGAGAGTTTAGGGTTTGGGGGTTTGGGGCTTAGGGGGTTGAGGGTTTGGGGTTTAGGGCTGGGGGTTGAGAGTTTAGGGTTTGGGGTTTAGAACTTAGGGGGTTGAGGATTTGGGGTTTAGGGCTTAGGGGTTGAGAGTTTAGGGTATGGGGTTTAGGGCTTAGGGGGTTGAGGGTTTGGGGTTTAGGGCTTAGGGGTGCAACTGTTTATGACCCAGGGGCCTCCCAGGGCCCCCCAGGCTGGCAGATTCCATTGCATTGGTCATCCTCCAGCCTACCCGGTTTTCAGGCAGAGGGATCACAGAAATGCTTTTGAAACCTCCAGCTCGCTTTGCAACTCGCAGCGGTTTTGGGTTTAGGCTTTAGGTTTTCAAGTTTTGGAGTTTCGATCTTTAGGGTTTTAGGGTGTAGGGCCTGCTCGGGGAGAGGGTTCATGCTTCAAAGGCTTAGAAAAAACCCCCTCGGAAACCTCGGGCGCCTGCCCAACTCTGGACCCGCAAGCCCAAACTTAACAGAAAGGTACGCTGTGGGGGCCCAGTTTTTCCACACACAAGGCTTTGCGATGGTTTGTGGATTGTCGCTTAAAGTTTCCGTATTGGAACTTCTTCGACAATAAACAGTTTAACATGTTCACGCAATTGGGTAATCATATATCTCTTCGTAAGGCATAGCACAATATAAAGCACTAGTAGATTTGCAAGTGCCATAAGGCGGAAAGCTTCCAGCCAGCCCCAAGCGGCTAGGGGGTCTGACCCGGAGGGGGGGGGAGAAAAAAGAAAAGAAAAACAAAACAAAAACTAAATGGCATGCCCGTCATGTCTTTCTTTCTTTCTTTCTTTCTTTCTTTCTTTCGTTCTTTCGTTCTTTCTTTCTTTCTTTCTTTCTTTCTTTCGTTCTTTCGTTCTTTCTTTCTTTCTTTCTTTCTTTCTTTTTTTTCTTGCCCTCCCCCCCCCCCACCTCCTTGCCCAGGGGTCCCCACAGCCTATGCCTGGGGGCTACAGGCCTGCCGTGGCCTGCAGCGGAGTGGGTAAGAAGGGCGCATCCGGTTTAAGAAAATCTAAGACCCAAGCCGTAAACCCGAAAGGCGGGCCTCAGAAGGCACTTGTAGCGGTATCTGGAAGCATGTTAAGCGTGTTTTCACAACGGCTTTGCATATGTGGGTTGAGGGGTGTAGGGTTTTGGGCTGATCAAGATTTGGGGCTTGGTATGCAAGGTTTCGGTTCAATTCTGAAGGCCCTCAAGAATCTTCAACCATCTTTCCAATACCTGCATGAATTCGGTAAATCGCATCCTGACACAACGACATTTCTACAAACTATAAGGTTCAACCAGGTCAGATACAGATACATAAGCAATCAAACTATAAGGCTAGAAACCTGTGGCTCCTAACCTTGTATTCAGATGCTTTCCTGACTCCTTACAAACGAAGCCCGAAACTCCTCTGCCTTGAAACCCAACACCCCACACCCCCAAACCGCCTGAGCCGCCAACTTCCGCACCCTTAACTCACGAACTCAAAGGCTCCATGTACCCTTATAGCAGATACTTAGGCCTTAAGGTACCCTTATAGGAACCCCTTTCAGGCCTAAGTATCTACTATAAGCTTACATGGAGCCTTTGGGGAACTCCACCTGGCCTGAACCCCCGAACAACACGGCCCAAAAGACTACCACACCACTCCTTAAGCCCGCCCCTCCCCGAAGAGTCGGAAAACGGAACCTCCACCAGGAGAAATCGGACGTTGGAGGCAGACTTTCAGGGCAAGCCTCGGGGGCTGGGGGCCCACCCAAGACCGTCGGGCTTTTGAGTACCATACTTTAATACCTTTTTTTGGTACCTGCTCCTTCAAGGAAGCATTATGAACAAATAGTCTATACTTTTTTCTCCCTGGTTAATTCAAAGCCCAGGTTGTCGGGTGGGGTTTTCCGTTTTTTGGGGGCTAGGCTTAGGGGGTTCGCGTACGGTCGGACTTTTAGGATTTTTCTTAGTTTTTTGGTGTGGGTTTTCGTGCTTTTAGATAGGTATCTTGAGGGAATGGCTCCGCCCATGCTAAAGGGACCTTGTGAACAGATGATGGAACAGACTTCATACTATCACACAGCCTCATAGGGCTCCTTACATCCCGAACCCCAAGCCTCTAAACCCTAACACCCCTAAACCCTAGGCCCTAAACCCTGGAGTGGGGAGTCTTCTTCCGTTGCCGACCCAGGAGCCCGTCACATGCAGCAAACCCGTTGAACTTAGGGTTTAGGGCCCCCCACCTCCATGCCACACGCCTGAGGAGCCAAGGCCCAAAATCCCAACCTCAAAGAAACTTCGAACTCCCACACAAACGAACCACCAAAGCCCCCCAAACTCCCCAGAACGCCCCAGAGACCCCTAAACCCCAAACCCTAAACTCTCAACCCCTAAGCCCTAAAACCTAAACTCTCAACCCCTAAGCCTTAAACCCCAAACCCTCAACCCACTAAGCCCTAAACTCCAAACCCTAAACTCCCAACCCCTAAGCCCTAAACCCCAAACCCTAAACTCTCAAGAAAGTGATAAATAGAATTGCTTGTCTTTGTTGGTAACTACAGCTGCGGCCCAGCACCCCAGACCTAAAATCTAATGAAGTAGGAAAAAACTCGCCGGAGGTGAAAAACGGAACAAGCTTCTTGATAAACCAATTTCTCTAAAACCTTCAACCCAGCCAGCTCAAGTCTCGGTGGTTCATCACTTCAATTGACTCGACCCCTAGGTGCTGGGAGGATCATGGGACTTAGTGAGTAGGGTGATAAGTAAGGTATCTATACTCATACTTGTAGTTAGTTATGACCCCAATTAGGGTACTTATCCCATCCACAGGGCCGAGCTCTCCGTGGTGATCCTGGGCTGGTCCCTGGCGACGCAGGAGGCTGACTCATGGGGGAATGGGGCCGGAAAGAGGCGCCTCACCATAAGGCTCCTACGGTTTAAGGTTTAGGGTTTGGGGTTTAGGGTCAAAATGCTGCAGTACCCATAATAGGGTTTAGGGTTTTGGGTTTAGGGTCCAAATCCGGCATTACCCATAATAGGGAATAAACCTTAATTCCCATAGTTTAGGTCCGTAACGTAGTGCAGGATTTTGACAATCAGCCGTAGAACACGGCATCGGGTTTCGAGAACCTTGACTTTTGCAAGTTACCGTTTCTACGAGGAGCCCGGATGCTTTCCTTTCGGGGAAGTTGTTAGTTCCACAAATACATCCACCTGTTGGGCGTAGTATCATGCCGTAGTCATCTTGGGGCTAATATACGGGCCCATAAGCAGTAACTGACCGTGTCTGTGCGGCTGTAGCTGGGCTTCTAGTCTAGGTTTAGTTAAGGCTGATGATAGCAATGAACTTGGGTATTGTCCCCAATTACTCTGCAATCTGCTAAGATCTAGTAATCTAGTACATGATTATGTCTAGCCCTCAATCTGACCCCGAATGCAGACTGCTACAGGGTGGGAGCAAGCTCCCATACCTTCTGAAAGCTCTATGTTTCGGTTTCAGGCCAAGGGTTTTAGGTCTCGGGTTTAAGGTTGATAAAGTTACTTAGTTGCTTTCACAGTCACGCAGCTCAACTCCCATGCCTACCCAAAAGTTCCTAAACCCCAAACCCCAAACCCCAAAACCCTAAAGCCTAAACCCTAAACCCTAAACCCCTAAACCCCTAAACCCTAAACCCTAAAAACCCTAAAAACCCTAAAAACCCTATAAACCCTATAAACCCTATAAACCCTATAAACCCTAAACCCTAATGCCCTAAGGAAGACCAGTTTCCGCACGAACTGGCCCAGCTGCGCACCGCGTCCTTGGAGGGAGCTGCGGCAGAGTTGGAGGCGCTTCTGAAAAGGCCGGCTGGTTTAGGGTTTAGAGTTTAGGGTTTAGGGTTGACTTAGGGCTACGACGTCATGAAAACTCGCTGCTGTTTCTTTATGTCTCTATGCCACAAGATTGTTCTTATAATTGAAAAATTAGGTCTACAAGAGTTCCATCTAGCCAGAACCCTGAATCCTAAATCGATTTCTGGTTGAAGCAATCATGCTTGCAACCAAGTTTCAAGCTCTGTACGCCTGTTCCTGATCCGGCTCTGGCTCCATGCCAAAACTGTGAATTGCGGTCCAGATTTTGGCGACCTGAACCAACTTTATGGCAAGAAACTACATCAGCAACCAAACGGACTACGGTTTAGGGGCTGGGAGCGTGCAGCATATTTTTTAGGCAGACTTATCATCATCTCAAGGCCGATGAACCCGGATGTCGTGGTGGATCGCATGGAGAGGCATGGTGCAGGGACTAGTTGTGACTAGTTCTGGTTTAGGGTTTACGGACTTTGCGACCGGAGTTTACCTGAAGTTGCCATGGGATACATCGTGGCAGGAACAATGGACTTTTAATTTACCAGGGCTTTCATTCGGACCGTATCGGTTCCAGTGGGTTTAGAATCTTAGATGTCCGGATGATTAGTAATCTATGCCCTTATGAATCCCTATAAGCTACACCCATGTGTATATGCTTGCCATTGCAAAGGCAGTTCCCAAAGCGAAAGCAAAGAGTCTACCAAGAGCATCCACGCCTTCGCGTCCAACATCCACAGGTTCGAGGACGAGCAAGGCTCCAGAACGACGATCCGAAGCGTCTGGTTTTCAGGCACCTCGGACCCCGTCGAGGGCAAAGGACAAGGGAGTGAAGACTTTGGAAAAGAAGCCGCGACCATCATCTTCAAGAAGCTCTTCAGCACGATCAAGGACTTCGGCCACTCGTGGACGTGACAAGTCCATGACGTGGAATCGAATGGTTACCAATCAATCACGCGAGGCTGACGATCTGGATATGACTCTGGACACAATCCCTGCACGGGGTGACGTTTCGTCAGTGACTACACCAGCCATTGCCGATGGTCCGAATGCCTACCGGGGATTGACAATTCCGCAACAATTTGAAGCATCGAACCTTGCACAGCAGATGTACTATCGAAGTCAGGTGCAGGAGTACGAAGGTGTTGTCCAGACCCTGATGGAGAAGATCAAGGAGATGCAGCAAGAAGATGAAGGATCTGGGATTCGCATCGAAGAATTGGAACGACAACGTGACCATGCATGCTTAGCCATGAGGCACATCAACAATGTCAATCAGGAGATGAAGCGAGACTATGAAACAGCTTTGTTTCGCATGGATGAACAGAACTCTGCTCAACAACGTCAAGCACACGCCGTTGCCGAGGAATTGGCTCAGCAGCTACATGTGTTCCGCACGGAAGCAGCCACTAACTTTGTGCAGTTGGAGGCAAGAGCGCAAGGCGATGGTGAGCTTATGGCACGTGAGTATGAGCATCTGACTCATGAACTTCATGAACAAGCCAGAGAGAACTTGTTCCTCCGGTCGAACACAGCAAGTTCAGAACAAGCCTTACAAGCGATGCAGGAACGATTCCACCTGGTCAGGAATCAGGAGTTGCGGGCCGTAAACGAGATTCAAGGGCTAGCTGGAAACAGCGCAGCCATTGATCAAGAACGACTTCGGCTTCGCGAACGTCTTGGTGAGGAGGAAGAGTACCGCAAAATGGCTGTGAGGAGGATGCAAGATGCAGAGGACCGACTTCATCAGAATGAGGATCATGCAAGGCGCGCATTGCCCACCTTGCACGACGAGCTGAGCGAACTCAGGAAAACGCTCAAAGCACAAGAAGATCTTCAAGCGAGGACACGCAGCGAATTGGAGGCAGCACGGAACTCCAACTACCATGGCGGAGTGACACGGCCTTCGAGCATGCCCATGTCTTCGAGGACTACTGAGTCTGGCTGGGAGCACGTAGGAAAGGAAGTAGTGCCTGCATTTTCCGTAGGAGGTGAGGTGCGATCCCCTGAAATACGGTCCCCAAGTCAAATTAGTCCAGTCGCCAAAGAGAAGTTCGCATTCTCAGAATCGGACAAGGACAAGAACCTTGCGATGGATGGCATCCCATTTACCGGTGGAAACTTCTTCACTGGCAACATCAAAGGTGAGGTAAATAAATCCTACGCAACGCCAATCGTGGCGGATGCAATGCCCGAGCACCACGTGCCAGGCATTAGCAGTCCAGCACATGCGCGTTCCACGCCCAGTGCAGCCACTCTGTTTGGCATACCAAGCGGATTTCATGGACAAAGTGATGCGGCAGCCGTGCGTGACCGGCAGCTACGTGAACTCTTGGAGGATCGCGGGATGTTGGGATCGAAGTCCACAGCATCTGCCAGCTCCTCAAGACCTGTTGGTATCGACGGCATTATCGCATCTATGAGGGGCAACGACCCCAATGGTGCCCCTGTCACCTACGATGCTTCCATCCATGAGGCAAGGAGACGTCAGATCGAGAAAGAGGTCGCGGAACAGTACGAAGAGAAGATTGCTGATCTGCGAAGCGAAGTACTCAAGGCCCAGAAAGCCGAACAACGTCTCAGAGCTGATCGTGATGAGTGGAGATTATTCGCTGAAACGATTCAGGAAGACAATGGAGACGATGACGGTGATGAAGCTGGCGACGAGAACGAAGAGGGAGAGCAAGATGAAGGGGCCGGCACGGGGTATGACCCTCCAGATCCGCCTAATGATGACGATGATGATAAGAAGAGGAACGGTGGAGGCAAACCGGAACCGGATCCTGACCCTCATGCGCGTGATCCTGACGGAGACGCAGATCCTGAGGTCACGGAGGTGAGAGTTTCCAGGAGAGAGGCCGATAAAGTGACAGTCCCTCCATGGCCTGTTCTCACTCACCTGAACAACTGGCGGTCCGTATGCACGGCGAATGTCCTAGGAGCATCAGCCGACCCAAATCATGAGGACTGGATGTTATGGCTGGCACCAGCGTTCAATCCATTCCCTGATGTCGAAGCACTGAACGATTCAGGACACAAGAAGTTCAAGAGCGTAGACGTCAAATTGGGGATCGCCATGGTCGCAATGCTACGCGCTGGTGGTGACAAATCCGCTGATCTGTACCTGGAGGTGAACCGGAAGGCCAACGATTACATCAGCAGGCCCGAAGGGAAGATCATCAAAGGACGACAAATCATTGCGATGATGTATGAAAGTTTTCGAACGCATGACCGTCTCGACATGATCATCACTCTCGAGTATCTGGTGAAGCTCCAGTACCAAGGCGACAACAAACTTCATACGTTCAAGCAGACGTGGTTGGAAGTTCTTGGACGGATGAGACCAGAAGACATACCATCCAAAACAGCTCTCCGTGATTGCTTGCACAGCAAGATCAAGGACTCGCCCGCAATGAAGATGGATTTGGGCATGCACTATGACCACTTGCCCTACAATCATGAAGACCGATCGTACGACAATCTGATGAAGATCATCGATCGTACCATCATGCGGAGACGAGAACAATCAAATCTCACTCAGACCCAAATTGGTTTGCGCCAGATGCTTGAGGGCAAGGATTTGCTCGCTGCGCCGGCCAAGGTACCTGAGAAACCAACGCCTAATGCAGCTCCATCCGCAAAGGTCAAAGCTTCGCCTACCAAGCCGGATAAAGCAACACCTGTACTACCTCAGAGCAAAGCGAAGAGTCATGCGAAGACCAAGCCAAAGCCCAAGAAGAAGACGAGGAGTGAGTCGGCGGACAACAGAGGCGACAAGAGCAAGAAGCAAATCCGCTGCAAGTTCCATTTCACAGATGCAGGGTGTCGAAATGGTGACAAGTGCCCATTCAGTCACTCGAAGAAGACTCCAGAGCGACCCTTTACGCCGAGGACGAGAACTCCAAGTCCATCTGGAGGAGGAGGAAATAGGATATGCTACTCTTTCAAGAACACAGGCTCGTGCTCAAGAGAGAATTGTCCTTTCAAGCATGAGGCCGCAGCTACCCCAGCTCCGGAACCAAAGGCGAAAGCCAAAGCCAAATCCGAAGCAAAGGCAGCTCCAGCGAAACCGAATGCTAAGGCCAAGGCACTCCCTGCGGCACCCGCCATTAGATTGTGCCGAAGGTGGAATCCATCAGCCCCGGCTATATGGAAGCGATCTTCAAGACAAGATGAGGAAGAGTCAGATTGTCCATCCGCTGACAGCGACGCTGACTCGGATTGTTCAACCGACGACGAATCCTCGGGACCGACTACGTCGACCCGAAAAGAGATCAAGCGCAACGTGACATTCGCTGGCGACGTGAAGTTCACTTCTTCGTGTCCTAGAAAATCGAAGAAGGACAAAGAACGGAAGGTGAAGTACGTCGACATGGAAGCACTTGTCAACGATGAGGATCGCGCCGTGACTTTGGAATTCGCTAAGCACAAAGCGAGATTGAGGGCACAGATCATGAGAGACATGGTTGACGACGATGATGATCAATGCGGAGATCGAGTTTCATTCGTACGGATCCCAGGAACGTCTCGGGTGGAAGAGGTTTCCTTCTACGACGGTGAGGATTCCATCGTGGAACGTGAACTCGACGCTGCGCACAGCAAGCGGATCATCAATCAAGGCGTGTTCAAATGCATGGTTCAACCAGTCATCCTCAAGAAGAAGATCAAGTTTCTCATGGACACTGGATGTGGCCATGACCTCATATCTCAGAAGAAGATCGAGAAGCACAGTCTCGAGACACTCGTGACTCCAGAGCCCATATCATTTCAGACAGCAAATGGAATCACCGATACCGATCTTGTGTCGAACTTCCAGACTGAGTCGTTCGAGGAACCGATCAACGCTTATGTGTTGGATGACACACCGTCGGTGCTTTCCATAGGCAAGAGATGCATGAACTTCAGTTACGGGTTTGTGTGGCCACCCGGAAGGGAACCATTCATGATCAACCCGCAGGGCAAGAGAATATCTCTGTTCGTGAACGGTGACATTCCGTACATTCGTGCTGGGAGTTCCAAGTCACTGGTTCATGATGATCCGGAGGCCAAAGCAATCACCGAAATCTTCAAGGGTGTGCTAACCGCGGGTGATGTTGACGTCAATGTCGCAGCTGCCGCCGAAGCTGCACCGAGCGAAATTGAAGCAGAAGAAGAAGGTGACGCTCATGAACGACCTCCTGACCCTGAACCCCAGGAACCTCCTATAGAAGAAGTACCAGAGTCCGAGGCCGGACGACCGCCGGACGACGAAGGAGCAGGAGTGGGTGAAGTTCTACTGGACGGTGACGATGAGGTGATCATTGATGTGGAAGGCGACGGTGCGCCGAGCCGCAAGGCCAGAGTCGGAACACTGAAAGCCGAAGCAAAGACGTTGGCACATCTGTGTACTCATCGCTACCGCAATCCATATTGCGAATCGTGCATA